TTTAAAAGAGCCAACCACGAAAGTCGACGTTGTCCAAATATTATAAAAAATATGGGAACACAAGCCCCTCTAAAATGATTACAAATTACGGATACGCGGGCCTCAAACAAAAACAACCAAGTCATCAAGAAAATATTAGTCACTCCTCAGAGTACCCTCTTCGGTCTCTGGCTCGGAAGGTTCAGGAGCAGGGACTACCTTACCATTAACCACCTGAGACAAAACTCTAACGTCTTTAGTATTGAGCCCAAGATTCAGCACGGCTAGTTGAACCATCGCGGTCTCAAAACCGTCGAACAATGCATCCATGCAATATGACTCAAGGACCTGAATTCGAGCAGCCAATTCTGCATGAGTCTTCAAACTGGCGATTCCCTCTGGCTCATCTTATGCGGGCAGCATGACAGCCTTCAAATCAGTGACCTCCTTCTCTAGGTTTTTCCTCTCGAGCAGCAATGAGTCCCTCTCCTCGAAGGCTTTGACCACCTTTCCTTCTCTCTCGCCAACTCATCAGCCTGCACCCAAAACTTTTCCTCGCCTCGCTCGAGAGTGACCTTCAACTTCTACACTTTTTCCTAAAGAGCCGCTTTCTCCGACTCTAGTTTGTTCACCATGGCAGAAGAACTGGCACCCTCACCTGCGAGGACGGCAACCATCTCCGCGATCTTAATTAAACCGACCATGCCCAAGGCTAGATGTTTCCTCCTACCTTCCTCATCGAGCCGCTTGATGACAGCGGATTCACCATCGAACACGGTCATGGAAATCCTTCGAAGAAATCCTACTCGACAAAGAAAGGAGGAAGGGTAAAGGCCCGAGCACCTGACCCATCGTCGGTCAAATCCACGGGCTTGCCTTCAGGGAGATTCCTCTTTTTTCCCGACACGGCTGCACGCTGAGTGACATCACGAGGCCCCGACGAACCACTGGACCCGTCCTTGACGTGCTCGAGATTAGGGCCAAGACGCGTAGGCTAGTTAGGCTTTACTAACATCTTGCTTTTCTTTTTGTCCTGGGTCAACTTCAGTAAACGTTCACGACGCTCGGCCATATTACCTGCAAAAACTAAATTAACATGTTCAAGTCAATACCGCTAGAGGGACGTACCCGAAACAAGTTAAAAATATAATGCAAGAGAGTCACGCGTACAAAGACCCAGAAGAACCACGGTGTCCCCGTAGGTACGATATTCAACAAGCGCTTTGGTGTTGATCGGGCGAGCCTTGAACATAGGTTCGTCATCTTCATCAAGAACGTCGTCTCCCTCCCTCGTCATCCACCTGGAGGGAAAGAAATCGTCAACGAATTTGTTAAGAATATTGAAGGCCCCCTCATCCCCGGCGCCCATGCTGCCAGCAGAAGTATGATAGTGTCCAGGCCCATGATCATAGTGAGCCCAACACCAATAGATAGGGAACTTAGAGAGCCTCCCGATCTCTTCATTTCCATCTTTGTCATAACAAACCTCCCCGTCCTCATCAACGAGAGAAACTAGGTCGAACACCGCGTCCACTGCCTCTTGGGACGAGGGCTGCATGACATACCACTTATCTTTAAAGTCACGAACAAAGTCCATATACATCTGGAACAACCTCTTGGATTGCTTGAAAGAAGCCCAATTATGTTTTCCTCCCCTAGACTGTCGTTGAAGATGGAAAACCATGAAGAGCAAAGGAATCGTCGCCCCAATCCTCAAGTATCGGCAAGTAATCTCGAAAGCCCGTATAAAAGCAATCGCGTTGAGGTGCAGTTGAGAGGGCGCCAAGGACAAATGATTGAAGACACCCATTTGAAAGTCACTGAAGGGAAGACGAAGCCCTAGATCCCTGAAGATAATCTCGTACATGGGGAAGCGATCTTCCGAGAAAGACGAGCATATTCTGGCCGTAGGTGTCAAGCGAAAGATCATGAAATTTTTCCTGAAACCCTCTTTGTCGCCGTCATATTCGAAGATGGTGTACGCCTCCCTCCTTGTATGGCTAAAGTCTGAGGCTATTCCTCGAGGCTCTAGCCCGACCTAGGACAATGACGGATCAGTGATGGTGTCAATCAAGTGTCGACTCCACTCATTTCTTTTATCTTGACCTGCTCGAGTGTCTCGACTGGTTCAGCCATTTCATCTGTAAAATAGAAGAAACCAGGGAATTCGACAACTAAATCAAATCCACCATTCCACCGCAACACAAGTGAAAAAGGGGTTGTTGTGCAGTAAAAAAAACAAACTCGTGAACGCCACAAGGAGAATATGGATCTGTCAAGGATTAAATGAATCTCTTGAGCAATCCCACAAACATTGCGAGGAGAGGATGCATTCTCCGGGAAATTTCATGAGTTCTGCGAGGATCAGATGAGTTTCACGAGCCAATTCATGAGTATCACAAAGAGAAATATGAAAGTATTGAGGAAAAACCCCACAGATAGCGAAATTCGTCGGGAAATCCATGAAGTTTGCGGGGAAGCCCCTCTAGAAACTTCCATAAAATGCAAAAACATGGCTATAAACAAGAGTAATCACTGAAAAATACTTACTTGATTAGGGTTGGTAGAGATTATACGACGGAAGCTACGACGACGCTCACGGTTGGAGAAGGAAATTGAGGGCGGTAGAAAACTGAGGACAGTAGGGATAAAGGAGAGAATGAGAACTTGGAAACGTTACAAATGAGCCCTTAGGCATTATTTATAAGGATGGCTCGGAAGACAGAGTGTCGCGTCGAACAACGTGTCAACTATTCGTCTCTCTGTCGCCCACGCGTTCAGGGTCATAATGACCCCTACTTTCTAGGCCATCATTCTATCCCAAAAGCTACACCACGTGGCTTACGAAGTAAACATCCTGCGAACTTTCGTCTCCCCGCGAGTCGAGGAGCAAATAAATTTTCTCTGTAAACACACTTCAATCTCCACTCGAGTAATCACGACCAAAAGTTACACCACGTGGCTTACGAAGTAAACATCCTGCGAACTTTCGTCTCCCCACGAGTCGAGGAGCAGATAAATTTTCTCTGTGAACACACTCTAATCTCCACTCGAGTAGTCACGTATAAAAACGACCCCATCCCTCGACTTGATAGGGGACCCCGACGAAACTATGCTCACCATACGAGGAAGCTGGTCTTAAGTCATAACTCATTTCCTCAGGAGCAACAACTTAGGGGGCTCCTGTTCTGGATTGGGCTTGCACTTGGCCCGAACATCATACAAGGCCCAATCCAACTATGCTGTAGGAGAAAACCAGTAGGAGAGAGTCTGCTCTTGACAATGTCGATCAGGATATGTCCTCTGGGGACAACCTCACTGCATGATTGGCGAGGAGGACCGACGATGCTTAGGAGGTCCTCGCGAGCACCCTCCTCGTAGGGCAGGCACCCAACGCCCATGAATATCATAGTCTTCTTGACCCCGAAAGGACCGCATCCACGTCCTCCTGATAATTCAGAGGAGTCCATTCAGATTGGAGACCACGTGATGGCTTCCACTACACACATAGAACCTGACAGTCTCCATTTCGGGCCTGCTTGGTCAGCCCAATAATAGGGACCTTGGCCCAGCACTGGGAGCTATAAATACTCTCTCACTTGAGAGGGTCAGATATTCATTCATTCATCCATACTCTCACGCTTTACTTGCACTTACTCTGAACCTTACTTTGACATCAGAGTGTCTTACAGGTACTCCCTCACTTCACATTCAACCATTGTTCGACTTAAAACTCGCGGACCTTGACAATCCCTTCTGATCAGGTACGGTCAGGTATCTTCGAAAATATATCTCCGAATTCACCCCCAAAAAAATGAAATTTCGTAATTTCATTAATACATCTCCAAAATCACCCCAGAAAAAAATAAAATTTCGTAACTTCAACAATACATCTCCGAAATCACCCCAGAAAAAATTAACTCTAGTGCATTCGAAGATACATCTCTAAATTCTAGAGATAAAAACATAATTTTTTCAGAGATAACTAAGTTGTAAGGATGGAGAAAGAAATTCCCAACATTTTTTCTCTAAATTCTTCTCCTAAATATGTAGCTAAAGTACACTTGTCTATATAATTTATCACCAAATATAATTAGACTCTGACATACAGTCGACACTAACATATAATGATGTTGGTTAATGTTGTATTTAACAAAAAAATATGTCGAAACTTATTAGGCATCTACATAGGTGGTGGAAGAAAAAATGTATTATGACTTTTAAATGTTTAGTTCTGCGTTGCAAAAAATTGAATTTTGGATGAGTTGATTATTTAAAAATGCATAAAATGTAAATGTCATGCTTAAACTAATTTTATCTTTAAATATAATCAATTATGAAAACAGACTCAATTCAACTTGATAAAATCCAAACACTTCAAAATCATTCCAAAATCAACTTTTTCCCCCTTTAAAATTGTTTTTTCATCTTTCAAAAACTAAATCAATAATACATTAAATTAGGATGAGAAACTTGGGAACACACAAGTAAAAAGGAAGACAACAAAATAAAATAAAAACGAGGCTCCCAAAAAATGAAGAACGATCAAATGATAATTAAGATGTCAGAACTTTTAGCCACATTTTGATGAAGACTTTATATGTTTTCAATTTATGTATGGAACCTATTTTGATGTTTACAAAATTTCTTGGATATATAACAACTCTGAAAAGTACAAAAATGATTCAATAAAATTAATAATATTTTGGTCTTCGATATCTGAGTATCTAACTTGATATGTATTTTTTGGATATATAACACTGCAAGGTAACAAACATGATACATTTAAGTTTCAGAATGTTAAGCCTAAGCATAGGATGAATCGAAAGAAGAAAAAGAAGAATGTTAAGCATAGGATTCAATGAAAACTGACTTTTTTTAATCAACTTTTTAGGTCTGCTATATCCATTAAGCAATGGACTCTGTAATACTGCAATGCAAGAATACAATCTCAACAATGCTTAAAAAAAAATAGTCTAAAATCTATAATGATGATACAGAAATAAGCACTTACAAGTAAGCTACTTGGCTTTGTTGAGAAATTTAGTTGTTCTAAACTTGGCATCATCCCTGATAAAACTCCACCAAATGTAAGTTAGAGGAATGGTTGTGGCATGCCAAAGAGCGTGTGCGTCGAGAAGTCCTTCGTAAGGAGGGAAATCGTATATTTCTAGGAGCATTGCGAGGCCACCGGAAAAAACAACCAGCCATAGCTTCCAACACGAAGGATGGTGACTAAAACCTGCCCAAACTGCCCATATCGTGAGTTGTGTCACGGCCATTGTTACACAAATTATCATATTCCATCCTGTAAAATTTGATTGAGATTGAGAATGCCATCAAAATCATTACATAAGGAGAAAAAAAGGAAATAAATAGATAAATGACAAAATGATATGTTCAAGGTCTTGTTAAGAATTGGACTGGGATAGTTTATTGGACCTAAAAAGGAATTGCCTGTAATAGAACTAAGGGGCGAGCACCCGTACGTAGCAGGTCACCCAAACCGCATAAAGCTAAGTGGCCGCCTAAAGAACATCGTAGGCCGCCCAATTGGGCTTAAGCCCAAAACCAATAGGCCGTCTCAGGTAACGCACGTGGTTTCTGACATGGCTCAGGAAAAACGGCCGAGGAATGTTAGTAGATGGGAAAAACCGTTTCTCCCACAATTGAAGGAGGACTAGGTCTCCGCTCCACGTTTTCGAGAATGGAGGGAGAAAATTGTTTCTTGGCTTTCTAGCCAAGGCCCAGAGGATACTCTATAAAGCATTGGATCCTAGAATCAAGAAGGGATCACGAATTTTCCCTAGAGACACATAGAGAGGGTCTCTCACAATCCCTACGTGCGCTGGCTCTGGCTCCCAGTAATTTCCACTTACACTAGACATAGTCACTTGTCACCCTTATTGTACATTAAACAAGTACAAGAATCTTGTAGCAGATGCACAAATCACAGAAGATAATGTTATAGATAACTAACAGAAAGTTTAAGGTAAAATTTACTCAAAGATTCCATTGATCCTAATTCAAATCCTAGCCTCACCAATAACAATATAAAGCTTTCATAAAAAATTATTACAATATAAAAATTATATGACAGAACATACCATAATCTAGTTTGTAGAAGTTGAGGTACATTACATGGGTGATCACAAAAGCAATCAACGGAGCAGAAACCATAACTCTGGTAGCCTCATCCCTAACATTGAAGGATCGTAAGATCGATAAAATGAGGGAGTAACCAAGGAGAACCACTGCAGATGAGTAGTCTAGTTTCTCTGTTAGATCAACATCTCTGCAGGACAATAGGCGAAAGAAACAACGAAAGTCTTAGCTTAATATATTGCCACATTCAACAGATAATGAGATATATTTCATTTATTTTCACAGTTCAGATGTGATTTTAAAAGAAGAGATTATTTCTTGAACACACTAGAAGCATAAGTAACTTACCTACTGTGGAAAACAGCACTCCAGAACCAAGAGTTGAATGATAATAGCGCGTAGAAATGCCACAAACCAGCATACTCATAATACGCCTTCTTCCCATCTTTTAGAGGCAGATTATAGTACACAAGAATGAAAAACGAGACCCAACCATGAAAATGCATTGCCAGATTGAGAGCTGAGAAAGCCACAGAGGCAGGCTCCTAAAGAAAAGGAAATAACATATCAGTTATGTCAGTTTAAACAAAACATTTTGCGGTCGCTAGGTCACAAGACATACACCAAACAGAAACATAAGGAGCATAGCTTCTATGGCTACAAACCTGCATCCCGTAAATACGCTTGAATGGCCATTTACCATGATACTTGACAGGGCCAATGTTAAGTAATTCTTTTTCTTTCTCTCTATCAAGCATGCAGTGGTATCGACAGTCGCTCTGACAATCCCATTTTTTCCATTGTAAATATAATGGTTCTTGCATGTACCATGGACGACCAACAATTTCTCCTTCTGATGAAAAAGTACAATGCGGAAAGCATTTTGGCCCAATACAACCAGTTTCCTGGCATTGACTTATACAACGCCTGATAACCAAAACAAGAAATAAAATTACAACATGTTTAGATTCTGATTTGAGTTTATCAGCTAACATAACTACGTATGAGACTGTTCGAGAGAGTTTGTGGATTTGAAACAGCTTATGACATGTCCATAAATTGTTTTCAGTTTATTTCCACAAACTCATTAAGATAGCTTGATAGTTTATATAAAAACAATTTGATGTTGTTTTATCTTTTCTTATAGAAATAGTATACACATAAGAATTAACGTTTATAAAAGCTTAATTAAACTGTTTATGGAAATAAGGCCTTAGAATGGGAAAATCCAAAGATAAAAATAAAAAAACATAATATATTAATGTATGAAAAAACCACAAACTTCTCTCACAATCAAATAATAAGAAAAAATTGACTACTAGAGAAGTACTTTGTTAAGCATATCGGTACTGGGTACATACCAGATAAGCGTACTTCTCTGTTTTACAAGTACTTGTGTTTTAGAAATTATAAACTATTAACTATGTAGTCAAGCACGAGATCTTAAGTAGGATCGATCAGATTGTGAAAGATCGTAAAACTTGGATCGTTAGCACGGCTCATAAGATCCTACTGATGGGAAAAATGGTAATTTCATATATATATTTATATATACACATACACAAAAACATGAACGTTTTAATTCAAGCCCAAAAAAAAAGGTCCAGCACTTTTTTTACAATTTTGCTTCCAAAAGCTTGATCTTGACCACACCGGCAACGAAAACAATCTTTATCTTATCTTAGCACTCTCAAGCATCCTAGGCACGTAAGAACTTACGATCTTACGATGCAACACTCGATCTTGACTACACTATTACATTTCCCAATAAGACACGCTACACTACTAGTAGTATTAGTAGTAGTAGTACAAATACAATATTGGTTTTACATAATCAATTGGATATGCTACACTGTCCTTATAATATATAGGAGTTTTAGAGAAACTTCTTTGTCCTTTTTCTAAAACCCCTTTTCAATCTTAATTACATTAATCATTTCATTACCAAACATACTCCTAGTATACCTAACAATAAACACTACATTTATGAACTTTCTTAATTTCTCATCCTATCTTTAGGAACTGAGACAGTACCATGTTGGTAATCTACAACCATCAGCTTCAACCTATGATGATGAATTCTACAAAACCCATATTCTCAAATCCAATCTCAAAACCCTCAATCATGTTTGCATCCACCAAACACTTTCAACAACATCATAATCATCATCATCAACAACAACAACAATAATGCTAATAACATGTTTGATGATATGTCACAAAGAAAGCACCAAAATCAAAGATTGGAGGTAAGAAAGTACCTATAATTCGGATCAGCATCACCGAGACTTGCATGAATTGTGTTAAAACTCCAAGAAAGTACCAAAAGGAAAGAAAACAAACACATAGGATCCATCTAACATCTGATTAAGAAGAAGGAGAGATAGATTAGATCTCGTTTCGTGTTTACCTTCGCGTTTGGTGTTTTGCTTTTCGCTCAGAGTCAGAATCAGTATGCTGGGTCAGATGAATGTTTTCAAACCCCAAAGAGAAGGTTCCTTGGTTATTACTATAAATTAAAATCTTTTTATTGTTAATTATTTTACTTTTTTGTTTTAGTCACTAATCAATACACATTTTAGGGTGTTTGGATAGGTGGAATGAGAGGGAGTGAAATAGAATAGAGTGGTAAGAAATGGAATAGAGTGATAACTCGTGAGATTCTATTGTTTAGATTTGTAAATAATGGATGGAATAGAATGGAATATGATGGAATCTATTATATCTCATTTCATCTAATTTTATATTTTTTGTTTCATTCAATTTGGGGTGTATGTGATGGAATGAAATATTTTTAAGGTCTGTTTGGATAATTTAAAACTAACTGGATAGAGCGGAATTGAATAGAATGGAGCGGAACGGAATAGAATAGAGCGGAATTGAATGAAACGGAACATAAGCTATGTTATATTGTTTGGATATTTTACGAGTGAGCGGAAGTAATATATCATTTCACTGTTTAGAAATTGGACGGAGCATAAAGCTTTATAATTTTTTTGTCCATATTTATCATTTATTTCAAAAACATTAATATGGTTAATGTGAAATTTTAGAGGACAAAATTGAAATTGTGTTATTAATTCATTCCATTCTATTGGATACACCCCAATTTGGGTGGAATAAAAAATGGACTAAAGTAGTGGTATTGAATGGAATGAGTTCCATCACGTTAAATTTCATTCATTTTTTATAAAATCAAACAATGAAACATAACATCATTCCACTCTATTTCATTTTATTTCATTCCATCTTTTTCCATCAATCCAAACATACCCTCTAAGATGTATTCCATTATGCTCTGCTCCACTCCCCTCTGACATGTTTCATTCTACTCCACTCGGTTATGTTACATTAATCCAAACATAGCCTTATGGTTTATAGAATACTAATTTGTTGGTTCAAAATTAAGGTGGGTTGAGTTAACTTTCTTCGGCATATGTCACGAATTCTAATTTTTGTTCAAATGGGGGCTCTAAAATATCTTCAACCATGAATATTGTGTCATGATTTCGAAATTAGAACTATCTTAAGACCTAGATACCAAGAAATATAATAATGACACCTCTAATTTGATGTGACCTTTGAATTTTCTTTATCTTACATATGGGTCTCGTACACTTGTACTTGAATGGCCTCTGACTATGTAAGCAATGACAGGTTGCGTTGATCTAGAAAAAATCGTAGTTATTCGTTGAAGCTTTCTGATGTCATACCATTTGTGATCATTTGATGAAGATGTCTTTTCACTTATGATATGGTGTTGATGTTGACCTCATATCAATCACCATCGTCGCATGAAATGATTTCCATTTCTCACCAATTTCGTTTATTGGATGAAGTGACTTCATATTTTACTCAACTAACACGTTATGTTATTTATAAGTGTTGGGACAAAAATGTTTACATAAAAGATGCAAGAAGAAGAAGAAGAGAGAAAAGAGAGAGAAATTGTTTGAAAGTTTGTTATTATTGTTAAGTGTGTAGTATATGTGAAACTATACAAGTCATGTCTATTTATAGGCGATCAAGACCCAGGCTCAAACTTACAACCCAAACCTAAAACATACAAAGTATATTTTGACACACTCAACTATATGTTGTATTCAACCCTATCGAATACAACTTACTCTACAACTACTTTGACACAGTCGAACATAATTTCGAATATTATCTTGCATACAAAACATTGAATTATAGGTTCTAACAAACACCTAATTCATGTTTTTGAAACTTCTCATCATAATACTTTTCTTTTGCTCATCAAACCTGACTTTTTTCAATGGCTTGGTGAGTATATCAGCTAGCTACAATTCTGACTTGCAATTCTCAAGTTCAAGCTTTCCTTTGTTCACTTGATCCATAAGAAAATGATACCTCGTCTCTATCGACCATGACACATAAGGTGGTTGGCTAGGTCAGCAGTTGACTTGTTGTCTACAAACAACTTCATATTCTTAGGTTCCATAATCTTGAGCTCTTTGAGCAACATCTCTATCCATGCTGCTTGACATACTGCATGCGATGCAGCTACGTACTCAGCTTCACATGATGATAAAGCCATAATGTTTTGCTTACTTAAGCTCCAAGAGATTGGAGCGCCTTTGATAATTAATATGTAGTCTGCAATACTCTTCTTCTCGTCTTGATCTCCACTGAAATATGAAGCAGTACAACCATAAACCTTTGCATCTGTACTTGTCTTATTTTTTATTGGCATCAACAAACCATGATCAATCTTATCCTTTATGCATCACAACACCCTCTTAATTACTATGAGATGACATTCTTAGGGTTTCTCTATGAATCTTCTCAACAGTGTAACACTTTAACATATATCTGGTTTGGTGTTGCAAAGATACCTCAAGGATCCAATGATTTTTTGTATAGTGGTAAACTTACAAACTCATCATTTCTAACCTTATTCAACTTTAGTTCAGTTTTGAATGGTGTTGCAGAACACTCCTTCACCTATGTCTTTGAACTCCATCCCTAGGAAATATGACAAGTTTCTGGGGTCGCACATTTCAAACTCTTGCACCAACTTTAACTTGAATTTTCTTATCTCAACTTCATTTGCACCTGTAATCAATAAATCATCTACATACAGGAATAAAATGATTCAATTGACCTTGACAACATCATTGACATACACTTCATGTTTAAAGATACACTTTATGAAAACGGCTTCGATCAGGAAGCTATCTATTCTCTTATTCCAAGTCCTCTAAGGGCTTGCTGCAAACCATATAAAGTATTTCTCAATTTTTACACCTTTGACTTCTACCCTTGATTTCGAATCCTGGTGGTTGACTGACATAGACTTCTTCTTCCAAATGGCCATTCAAAAATGTTGATTTTACATCCAATAGATGCATATTCCACCATTTGTATGTCATTGTCGACACGTCAATCCTAATTGTCTCCAACCTTAAAACAGGTGTGTAGACTTCGTCGAAATTAATACCAGGTTTTTGCAACAAAAAAAAATCTCGCCACTAGTCTTGCCTTATACTTCGTTATCTCACCATTTGACCGTTTTTTCAACTTGTAGACCTATTTCACATCAAGGATTAAATAAATTTTTGGTCCCTCTAAATATTTCAAATTTCGTTTTTAGTCCCTCTAAAGTTTTACTTCAAAAAATGGTCCTCCTAAAAAATTAAATTTTAACTTTTGGTCTCTCCTGCAATTTAGTGACGGTTTTTACAACTTAGTAACGATTTTTATTTAGCGATGAAATTAGAGACCATTTTAGCTACGATTTTGTCAGGAGGGATCAAAAGTTAAAATTTAATTTTTAGGAGGACCATTCTTTGAAGGAAAAATTTAGAGGGAGTAAAAACAAAATTTGAGATATTTAGAGGGACCAAAAACTTATTTAACCCTTGATCAGTGCATTTTGATGCACATTCTTCCATATTTGTACTTAAGCATTTCTATGTTTTACGTTGTTTATTTTTATGTTTTATAATGTTTTTCCAATTTAGTTTATTTTTGGTTTAATTTGATTTTCGTATTTAATTTTCAGCATTGGCAGCTTTCATTGGAGCTATAGGAATTGGATAGAGGCATTCTAATATGTGTTTGAAAGCTTAGAGAAAGAGCTACAACTTTCATGTTGAAGCCACAAGCTGATTCGGAACGTAGCAGGCTTGAATAATTCGTGGAAGTTTCAGACATTAGAAATATTTGTTTCAGGTCAATTTTATGGGTCTGGATTATGTTTTCGACCCAGTTTGAGTTAATAGGAAGAAAACCTTTTTTTATTTTATAAGGGTTGAAGCCGCTACAGTATTTTTATTAACCTTACTTTTCACGATAGAAATTTTGATTGTACAAAACCATTCATGGAGAACTAATCCTAAGGGCAATCTACCGAATTCGAATTCCACAAAACTTTGAGGTTCTTATCAATTTTAATTCAGTTCCTTTCTAATTTATTCTATAATTTTCGTTTTCTTAATTCGTTTATTATAGAATATATTGGATTTAATTTGGTTGGGATATATGTTCCTTACTTTAATCGCGTTTAACTTAGCTTTTTCGTTAATTCGCGCTATCGTTAACCGTTTGCTTAATTCTATGAACCGTTTGCTTAATTCGGTGATTAGGAACATGACTCATGTATTATTGTCGACGTTTGTTTCATCAATATTACAATCGAATAGGAATTGATACCACTTAGGGAATTAAAATTGTAATGACCAATGATAAGTTGTAAGTAGAACCGGTAGATTAACCTGTTATAATCACTTATTTTATAATCACTTACTTTTGCACTGTTTTCTTAAATCTAACTTTAAACCAAACTTCCCCCAATTATATTTCTTTTAGTTAATAACAATTTCAAGAATCCTTGGGATATGACTCGATCCATTGTCGCTATCTACAATTTTAAAAATACTTGTTTTTGATCCGTGCGCGACAGCGGATCAACCCTCATATCAATTGGCTTCTTGTTAGCTCTTTCGACAAGCTCATAGGTCTTGTTCTTCTCAATTTCCCTAAGTTCTTATTTCATGGCTTTACACTAATTCAAATCATTCATGGCTTGATCCAAGTTAATTGGTTCTGCTTCATCCATTATCATCACTTCTTCTATTAAGTCACCGTCTACATCGACTTCTTGATCTGGATATCTCTCATATCCAGCTAGCCTTGTCAACTTATTTCTCATTCTAATTAATCTCATGACATTCTGCTTAGGTGGTTCTTCATTTAAATTGATTGCGACTTCAGTGTATTGGCCTTCTTATTCAAATACAATTGTGATTGTATTTAACTCATGTTGACCTGAACCATGAATCCACTACCACCCTTTGCTTTCGTCCACTAGAACATCTCTACTGATCATTA